ATTGTCACATCCGTGGTGTTTGAACCTGCATCATTGCTGAGATTTGGAATGATTTCTTTTCCTTCCACATGAGCATAATAGTCCTGGTCGATCGTGAAGACCTTTGCAAGGGAGCAGACTGTATATAAGAAGCCTATGGGTAGTACTTCTTTAGAAACTTGTCGTTAATAGGCATCATGATCTTATCACCATCTTGATTGATTAGGCAATATGCTCCATTTGAGTAGACCGTTTCTACTATAAATGGTCCTTCCCATTTTGGTTCGAACTTGCCTTTCTTTTTAGAGTTCAAAACCATTGGACGTCGGACGGTGAGAACCAAGTCACCTTCCTTGAAAATGTGGTGTCTGACTTTCTTGTCAAACGCCTTGGAGATTCGAGCCTGGTAAAGCTCGATATGATGTTGAGCTTGTAGTCGCTTTTCGTCTAGCGCTTCAAGTTCTTCAAGACGTCGGCGATGACTTTCTTCCGTTGTCATACCGATCACAAGTGCTATTCGAAGGGATGGAATTTGAACTTCCAATGGTAATGCAGCTTCACATACATATACCAAGGAGTATGGCATAACACCTGTTGGTGTATGAACCGTCATGCAATACGCTTGTAAACTTTGACCCTATTTCTCATTACAGTCTCGTTTGGTTGTGGAGATCAACTTGGTGAGAATTTTAATGATGGTCTTATTGAAAGCTTCTACTTGTCCATTCGCATCAGGATTATAAGCTGGTAATGCCAAGTTTCTGATTCTGAACTTATCGCAGAATCGTGTGAAGGCTTGGCTAACAAACTGGGGTCCTTTGTCATGGATGATGTGTCTTGGGACACCGTATCTATATATGATGTGATGTTTAATGAACTTGACCACATCACTTGTTATGACTTCTCTCAATGGAATCACTTCAGCCCATTTGGAAAAGTAGTCGGTTATCGCTAGGATGAAGTATTGTCCTTTTGTAGAAGGTAGGGAAATTAGGCCGATAATGTCCATACCCCATGTTTCAAATGGCCATGAAGTGGCCGAAGAATGCAGATGCTCCAGCGGCTGATGTATGTAGTTAGTATGTATTTGGCATGCGTGACATCATTTAGCATAGGCAATGACGTCACTAATCATCTTTGGCCAGTAGTAGCCAAGTCTACACAGTCGGTCCCATAGTTTTGGTTCTGACTCGTGAGCTCTACAGATGCCATCATGGGCTTCTTTAAGGGCTTCTTCTACTTCTTTGTTAGACAAACAGCGAAGCAACAATCTGTCGTATGACTTCCTGTACAAGGTTTGCAACAGGGAATCGTAATAGAATATTAGTGCCTGTCTGCGGACGAATTCTCTTTCTTTAACGTCTTCAAGCAGTAAACCGTATAAGACATAATCGATGATCGAGAATCATCAATCTCTTGGTTCGAACGCATTGGGCTCCTAATCGACTGTATTGATTTGCAATGCATATTTTGGTCGGAATAGTTGCTTGATGGCTACAGTGATTCCCTGAGTAGTTCCCTCGGGTATAGCTTGTGTAGTTGTGAGTGATGCTAAGGTATCAGCATATGTATTCTTGAGGCGAGACACATAATCAATGTAGACACCTTTAAAAGAATTAGCCAATGTGATGACCGCTTCGTGGTAAGGGACCAGATCTTCATGCCTGACCTCGAATTCCCCTTTTAGCTGGTTGATGACGAGCTTCGAGTCGCTATACGCTTCTAGATGTTTTACCCCCAGCTTATTGGCTAGGTAAAGATCAATTAGTAAAGCATTGTACTCGACTACATTGTTAGAGCATAACTTCGTCAGAGAGAAGGCTCGAGGTAACACATTGTTTTGCAGAGAAACTAAAACTACGCCCACTCCAGCGACAATTGTAGCTTTAGGGCCTGTTGTTGATGCGTAGTCGAAGAATAATTGCCACACTTGTTCTTTCGAGATCACATTGACTTCGCATATCTCGTCTGACATATCTTGGTATAAATCAACCATTCCCACCAAGGTGTGGTTGGCGTGGAGATCGTAGATAGCTTGACCTTTTATCACCTTTTGTGGCTTGAAATATATGTCATACTGGGACAACAACAATGCCCATCTTGCGAGTTGTCAATTCAATGCGCCGGGTTGCCACATGAATACCCATATTGGATAAACTTTGGAGATGACGTATATGGTCTGCCCGACCAAATAGTATCACATCTGTTGGATTGCGAAGACGAAGGCCAAACATTCCTTTTTGATGGGTGGATAGAACTGCTCAGCTCCTGTTAAAGTCCTTTTAAGATAGTAAATGGCTTGCTCATGGCCATTATCATCATCTTGCGCTAGAAGTCCTCCCAAGGCATGCTCCGTAGCTCAGACACATACCAGGAATGGCTTCCCCGATTTTGGTGCAACCAATACGGGCGGACTAGATAGATAAAGTTTGATCTCCTCAAATGCCTTATGGCAGGACTCATCCCAAATGAATGATACACCTTTCTTCATGAGTTTCGAGAATGACTAACATCTGCCGAACAAGTTAGCAATAAACCTGTGAATGTAAGACAAACATCCTTGTAGACCGCGCAACTCTTTAAGATTTTGAGGAGGTGGAAGCTCTTGGATGGCTTTGACTTTGTCTAGGTCGAGGTGGATTCCGTTAGCTGTGATCACAAATCCAAGAAATTTTCCACTAGCCATTCCCACGAAGGATTTGGTTAGGTTCATCCTTAGCTGGTGTGATAACATTAGGTTGAACATTACCTTCAAGTCATGAAGATGATCACCTTTGCTATGGCTATTAACCACTAAGTCATTGATGTAGCACTCCACTATCTTCCGTAAGTGTTCCCGGAAAATAGTGGTCATAGCGCGCTGATATGTGGCGCCCGCGTTCCTTAGTCTGAAGGGCATTACCACATAATAGTATATCCCTGAAGGTGTTCTGAAGGAAGTATGCACCTCATACTCGGGGTACATCTTGATCGGGTTGTGCCCTGAGATTCTGTCCATGAACGACATTCTTTCAAACCCGCACGTATCGTCAATGATGATGTTCGTAATGGGTAAAAGGAAATCATCTTTCGAATACACCAAGTTCAAGTCACGGAATTCGATGCAAACTCAGACTTTCGCATTCTTTTTTAGAACCGTAATGATATTAGCCACCCAATCCAGGTGTTGTTCTTCTCGGATATACCCCGAATCAATGTCCTTTTTGACTTTGGTTTCGATTGCCTCCATTATATATGGACAGAATTGCCATTGCCGTTGCTTGACAGGCTTGGTGCCTGGTTTAATGTTAAGGTAGTGCATGACCACCTGAAGATGAAGGCCGGGCATGTCCTCGTAGTTCCAGGCGAAGACATCAATATGCTCACGTACGAGAGCAATGAGATCTTCCTTTTCATTGGGTGACATGCTGTCACTTATAAATATTTAAGGCAGAGGGATGACTCCCTCTTCGTACTTCAATGCCAAGTGATTAAAAAGAAGAAAAGATTCGAAGAGCTCGAAGGGATAGGTGAGAAGTTGTCCAGCGAGCGTCAAAAGGCCACTTACGCTGAGCAGACCAATCAGGTTTTGATCGAATCCTATATGGCTATTCTTGTTGAGATCCAAGCTAAGCTGGCAGCAGCGGAAAATAACCTAAGGGCAGTAGTAGAGGTGCAGTAGATGCTGGAAACCAAGAAGGAGGAACAACAGACATCACATTAGGTTGAGCTCAACGAATTAGAGAAGCTGGAGAGTACCGTGAGGAGCATGGTGATGTTTTCTAACAAGGAGCTGTGTAAGAAGGCGTTAGAAGAAGTTGAAGCGGAGCACCGAAGATCATTGGATGAACTCGTGGAAGAACTCCGCAACGTCGTCCGATTCTCCTGAGCTCAATTTATGTAATCTAACTCTTGTTGTAGCAGCTTCTCATTAATAAGATTATCATTTTGAACATTATCATTTTTTATAACCATAACTTAGGATTTATGACAAACCCTCAGCTATCAACGGACTTGACGTGTCTTTACCGACTATCGTTTGAGTCGGACTAGCCATACTTTTTCCCTTAGCATGATAAGTTGTTGAGGAGTTTCTCTTAGTTTTAATGTTAAGATTTCTCCTCTATCCTTAGCCATTCAAGGTGTTGGATTAAGTGTTTGAGTATGATTTCAACAGTTAAGTTGTAATCAAGTTTGGTTGTGTCGTTCTGTGTAACAGATCAACCTTAAGATTTGGAGGAAATTGAATATCAGAGGTAATTGTTTACATGATAGTATTTTGTGGATCCGTCATCTTAATAAAGAGGATTGGTAGGAGAGTTTTGAGGACGGTAAGGAATGAAATTTTCACCTCAGTTGACCTCGTTGGAGTTAGAAAAATTTTAAATGACTTTAATAATGCCAAAGGTCTCATTCCGCGATATTGTTAAGGTCAAGTATCATTGTCACATCCGTGGTGTTCGTACCTGCATCATTGCTGAGATTTAGAATGATTTCTTTTCCTTCCACATAAGCATAATAGTCCTGGTCGATCGTGAAGACCTTTGCAAGGGAGCAGACTGTATATAAGAAGCCTATGGGTAGTACTTCTTCAGAAACTTATCGTTAATAGGCATCATGATCTTATCACCATCTTGATTGATTAGGCAATATGTTCCATTTGAGTAGACCGTTTCTACTATAAATGGTCCTTCTCATTTTGGTTCGAACTTGCCTTTCTTTTTGGAGTTCAAAACCATTGGACGTCGGACGGTGAGAACCAAGTCACCTTCCTTAAAAATGTGTTGTCTGACTTTCTTGTCAAACACCTTGGAGATTCGAGCCTGGTAAAGCTCGATATGCTGTTGAGCTTGTAGTCGTATTTCGTCTACCGCTTCAAGTTCTTCAAGACGTCGGCGATGACTTTCTTCCGTTGTCATACCGATCACAAGTGCTATTCGAAGGGATTGAATTTGAACTTCCAATGGCAATACAGCTTCACATACATATACCAAGGAGTATGGCATAACACCTGTTGGTGTATGAACCGTCATGCGATACGCTTATAAACTTTGACCCAATTTCTCATTACAGTCTCGTTTGGTTGTGGAGACCAACTTGGTGAGAATTTTGATGATGGTCTTATTGAAAGCTTCTACTTGTCCATTCACATCAGGATTATAAGCTGGTAATGCCAAGTTTCTGATTCTGAACTTATCGCAGAATCGTGTGAAGGCTTGGCTGACAAACTGGGGTCCGTTGTCATGGATGATGTGTCTTGGGATACCGTATCTGTATATGATGTGATGTTTAATGAACTTGACCACATCACTTGTTATGACTTCTCTCAATGGAATTACTTCAGCCCATTTGAAAAAGTTGTTAGTTATCACTAGGATGAAGCGATGTCCTTTTGTAGAAGGTAGGGAAATTGGGCCGATAATGTCCATACCCCATGTTTCAAATTGCCATGAAGTGGCTGAAGGATGCAGATGCTCCGGCGGTTGATGTATGTAGTTAGCATGTATTTGGCATGCGTGACATCATTTAGCGTAGGCAACGACGTCACTGATCATCTTTAGCCAGTAGTAGCCAAGTCTACACAGTCGGTCCCATAGTTTTGGTTCTGACTGGTGAGCTCCACAGATGCCATCATGGGCTTCTTTAAGGGCTTCTTCTGCTTCTTTGTTAGACAAACAGCGAAGCAACAATCTGTCGTATGACTTCCTGTACAAGGTTTGCAACAGGGAATCGTAATAGAATCTTAGCGCCTGTCTGCGGACGTATTCTCTTTCTTTAACGTCTTCGAGCAGTAAACCGTATAAGACATAATCGATGATCGAGAATCATCAATCTCTGTGTTCAAACGCATTGGGCTCCTCATCGACTGTATTGATTTGCAATGCATATTTTGGTCGGAATAGTTGCTTGCTGGCTACAGTGATTCCCTGAGTAGTTCCCTCGGGTATAGCTTGTGTAGTTGTGAGTGATGCCAAGGTATCAGCATATGTATTCTTGAGGTGAGACACATAATCAATGTAGACAACTTCAAAAGAATTAGCTGTTAGACCTAGAGGGGGGGGGTGATTAGGGTCTTATGCTAATCTAATCCGATTAAATTCCAATTAAAAACTAATTAACAAGTTGTACGGAACAGTTCGAACCCGTGATCATATCGTAGTGTTATGTGATTGCCATTGGCGTTACTTATTCTTGTTTTTATAATATCTTTATATATGCTTTGTGTATTGCTCATCCATATTACCAAGCAACAATCACTTGTTTAGAATTGTTGTACGACCTTGCGTTGATTTATATATCCTTGGCCATATATTTCAGCTATATGCGTCCTTTGCTAGAGAGAGTCATAATTGTATATTGCTTATCCCTAGTCATATATATTGGTGACACCATTCATACTTGCTAGGGATAACTGTT